TGCCCCTGCACGAAAATGACAATGCGCCCGTTTTCATGCCCAGCGTAAACTATTTTTTGTTCCGAAATTGTTGGACGAGTCAGGGGCGAGGGCCAGACAGGCACAAACATGGTTCACTGGGCTTGTACAGGCACGAAAATTAAGTTTCCGTCCATTTTACTGCCGAGCAAATAGGCACCAGTCTACTGAAACATGGCCCTGCGTGTGCTTTTTCTTATATTTTAGTTTTGTTTGGTGTTTTGAGATATTTTCCAAAATATGGGCGAGCATTCACAAGGGGAATGTTAGAAGAAACATGACACAATTGAATTTACGTTGAGTAAGCTGATATCAGTAATGTTCGAATTGGGATTCTTCACAGCTTGCTGATGAGGCGATCATTTGAATCAGGTGTGTTGAAGGAGGTAAACATCTAAAACGGGCAGGACAGCGGACCTCGAGGACCGAAAGTGAACATGCCTGCATTAGATTAAAATGCAGGGAGGTGCACCAAAGTGTCTTACTTGAAAGAAAAGCACAACTACCACTCTATATGTGCATGTCTCAATTAATTTGCCTTACGTTTAAGTTAACCCTCCCATTGGCAACTCTTCTACTGAGGTCAAACATCTATTTCCATTTGTTAGCAAAATTGCGCAAAATTACCCAGACGGCTATTGTATCAAGTTTGTAGCAGGTCAAATGAAAGAACCCATTACATCTTGGGCCAGAGCCAGAAATTTTCATTCACTACTCAGCAAATGCAACACACACTTTTGCATAGGTCTGCATTTCCTCATAGTAATTGAAATCAGATTCATTGATTCACTGTACAACTGTAGCCTACCCAGGTTATTTGTACCTTCTGCCATCTAGTGGAGTAGCATTTTTCTGCAGGTCATTCTTGTGGCTCTCCTCCCATGACGCATTGTTGGGAAACACTGCAGGACATTGTGTGGTCTCGACAAATTCCTATGAGATTGATCCATGGATTGTTCAGAAAAATCACTGTTCAGCTTTCTATGTCAACGCTCCCACTCAGTGGCAACACAAAAGTTACATCAACTGGACTGTGACATGGACCTAAACCTAAAACACAACATAAAACAGTTAGTTTGTCTATGTGAGGTGAGATAATCTCGGTGAAGCATTGCCAACAGACAGAAATAAATAGTCGAAAGAAAAGGGGCCGGGGGGATGCATTAGTGATAAATGTTCATGGTGGGGGGTGCATTAGTGATAAAAGTTCAATGTGGCCCGTTGCATTTTCGTGCAACGGGCTACCACACTGAAATTAAACACTGCACAATGCAAGTACCAGTACACTGAATGGTCTACTGAATTGACTCTTTTTTCATTTTGTTAAGTGGCTGCAATCAATAAAAGCATCTGGCTCAGGATACATGTACTAAATCCAGATGATTGTATTGTATTTTCATGTAAATACATAAAAACAGCTTGTGCTGTTGTATATATACAGGTATATATATGTACAGACTTTAAATTTTAATTTACGAGGTTTCAGAGAAACATTGTAACTTCCAAGGAATTACAGCAATTTCATAGCATACCAACAAACAAATGGTCCCACAAAAAAGGTTAGTTTTGTACGCTGCCACTTAGTGGAAGATCATTTTAATTGTTCTGCCTATACATCGCTCACATAGATGGACAGAGATACCATTAGCAGTAAAAAACAGCCTTAACCTCTGACAGCACATCAATATTCCACAGCACACTGGCTGAGTATCACTGATCTACTGCCACTCAATGACTAATATTTGGCCTGTCCTGCGGTTTCTGTATGAAATGACATGCTTCACTCTGTTTTATTTTGCAGGCTCTTTCAATGTGAACTTGCGCCCACCTGACCTACTCTTTAAGGTCATCTTCTGGTTGGGCTACTTCAACAGCTGCCTGAATCCCATCATCTACCCTTGCTATAACCGTGAGTTTAAACTGGCCTTCATTCGCATCCTTCGGTGCCAGTGTCAGCAACGCAAACGCCCTACGTGGAGTTCATATAATTACCGTTCCTCAACGTTCAGCTCCTCTGGACATTCACGCAAAGGATCCAATGACCACACCCCCGGCTGCTTGAATGGCAGCCAGCATACTCTGCCGTCTTCGGCCAGCCCGAGCCCCAGCTACTTCAGCAAGGGTCTACCATCGTGCCCGGAGGGTGAGGCATTGTACACCTGGACTACAAGTCCCTCACCCTCTCCCAACATACTGCCTGGCAGCCAAACAGACTGCCAGAAGAGTTGTCTCATCACAGGTGTGAAGGGAGGGGAAGTTAAGGAAGAGATGACTTCTGGAGTTTTTTCTTTCTCCCTAGGAAAGGAAAAAGACAAGGGAGTGGTTGGAAAAGAATGTACAGACCCATCTAACAACGTGTGACTGCATCCACTGTAGAGAATGACTATTTATCCATCTCTGAAAAATAATGGTTCTGTGGTCACCACATCTAGCTGCTGGGATTCGTCTATATTTGGCGACACTGACACAATTAAGGAAGAGGGACAAAAAGTGGAGACTTGGGAAATTACAAAAAGTATTTGTGCTACAAAATCCGCATCTTATCTGTAACGCCTGAATGTGACCAGACTGATGTACAGTAAAATGTTGAAAACTGTATGAATTTCAGTCTTTTGCTTTGTTAATGTAGTGTTGTGAAATTAAAGTATAATATGGTTTGTGTAATTGTGTACCAGTTTCCTCATTTGGAAAATTGATATTAGAAGTGATACAACACTGAAAATGACAGCCATAACACGATTGCTATTGTAGAGTGTTATTGTCACTGCATTGCGCATTCCATGTGTGAAGGGCAAGAACACTGAAAATTATTTATAACATTTCATAGGCTAAATATATGTATGCGTGTGTGTGTGTGTGTATATATATATATATATATATACGAGAGGTGAGTTGGGAATCCTACGAGTATGTGTTCTTCATCAGGCTGTCAGAGTCAAGGATAGTCTTATACAGGGTGTCTATAAAGCCTGGGTACATGGTAAAAAACACATACTTCTTAAAACAAAACAATTTTATTCAATTGCAATGTTGATCAATTATATTTTCAACATGATTATATATATATATATATATATACACACTGTATGTGTGAATTTTATTTCCTGAAACCATGAGTGATGGTTTGATGAACTCATAACTTGCTTGCTACAGTGTGAAAGTTATGATTTTGATTGACGTTGGCTGTAAGAATTAAATGTCTTGAACTGATGACAGATTCTTTTACAGTTTGCATTCAGATCAATTGTACATTTGTTCTTTCAAGATGCAGTTAATAATTCATTCATTCATTCATTCATTTTCCAATCCGCTTTATCCTCACAAGGGTCGCGGGGGGTGCTGGAGCCTATCCCAGCTGTCTTCGGGCAGTCGGCGGGGGACACCCTGAACCGGTTGCCAGCCAATCGCAGGGCACACAGATACAAACAAAGCATCCATGCTCACACTCACACCTAGGGACAATTTAGAGTGTTCAATCAGCCTGCCATGCATGTTTTTGGAATGTGGGAGGAAACCGGAGTACCCGGAGAAAGCCCACGCAGGCCCGGGGAGAACATGCAAACTCCACACAGGGAGGCCGGAGCTGGAATTGAACCCGGTACCTCTGCACTGAGAGGTTGACTCGCGAACCACTGGACCACTGGGCCGCCCTGCAGTCAATAATAATTTTTAAAAAACATGGCAGAGTATGAAGGCATCTAAGAAGACTGCATCAATTTGAACATAGAAAAATTACATATATCAAAAGTTTCCCCTAGATGTGAGGATGACCAGGGTGGTGACCAGAGAGTGACAAGCCATCCCTGGCTAACATGAAACACCGTCCCTGCATGTGTGGGTTTATTGGTAGTAATTAATTAGTTTTGCTTTGAAAAAATGCATAAGAGCTGATAAATATGCATCTGTATTGATATGCAGTACTGTATTTCCCTTTTATGGCAACATTTTTAACACGTCGTCTATGATGGGTCCAACATTGGTAATTTACTGATCGAGAACGGACACATATTGGACAACAAGGACGACACAAAGAAAAACAACGGGATAATGCATAGCAAAAATTTGCAAGTGGTCGACCAGACACAGCAAACAAGGTGCCAATGACTTGTTATTGCACAATTTTTACAAAACGTATACTTACGCATGTTATGTCGAACTGCACAAGAAAGAACAGGCAGACAAGCACAAGTGCAGGGAACATTTTCCGGGACAAGAAGTGATTTATATTTGGAGAGGAGACATTAAAGACAAACACAATGCCGAGTATATTTAACAAGCAAGAAGTGGGAGATGAGCCTAACTGCCCAAAGGAGAATCTTCTTTCTCTCAACCCTTCGCAATCCTTGGCTGGCCTAGGTGGCAGGTTTGTGGGTGTTGTGCACACAGTCTGCGTTCGGAAATTAGGTCGATGAGACCAAATCGGCACACTGACCTTCATGTGAGTAAGGTAGGAGGACGTATTAATTACAGCATTGTCCGTACGTCTGTAGCGAGCGAAGACATGGCAGACATGATGCTATCTGCCACACTTCTTCTCATTCCCAAAAATCTATTTTGGGTTATCAAAAGACTATCTGGCATTGCATCTTTCACATCAAAAGTGGAATCTCACTCGATCGCCTTATTTCATAGTATTGGCTGGAAACAATATGGTTTCATTCTTTCTGGTTTAATGCTACAGATGCATTCTAGTCAGCTAAGCTGTGTGTGGATAATGTACAGTAGTGTATAGTACCTTATTATTGACCTTGATGCTTGTCAGCTTGTAAGATTGCAGATTACGGTACTTGTTTTAAGAAACATTGACAACTCCAATTTTCCTGTGTGAACGTGGCAGGATCGTGGATTTCTTGATTCCTGCTTCTGACTCACAGTTTTGAGATTCAAGGTTCAAATCTCAGACCAGGCCTTCCTGTTTGAAGTTTGTATGCTAAGTCTAAGCATTCATGCTTTATTTTTACTTCCCCTCTTGATTTTTTTTCTTTTTTTGTACAGGGGCATTTCACTTCTTACCCAAAGTCTGCTGGAAAATGCTCCACTTCACACACGACCCAAATGAGGACATGTGGTAGAAAAAATTGAACTTGACATGAATTTGTGTCGCAAAAAGCAGCTATTTAATGTCTTTAATAAGAATGTGAGAGACGCCTAAAATGAATCATTTAATGACTAAAATGACGAAAGGATCAAGTGTCGTGTATGACAAACAGAAATTAGGGAAAGTGGTGGGAGCCCATGCTGTACCTCTCCGCTCACCCAGATGGCATAGACTCCCACGCACACACAACCCTAATAAGAACAAGACTTTGAGAACATGGAAAACACCCACAAACAACAATATTTAGGCCCTATGTTATAATACCTTCAGTATCTTGAAAATACTGTGACTCTATCATATACTGCAGATCTGGGTATGTAGTATTATTCTCTTTGATTTAAGTCAATAATAATAATGATAATAATAATAATAATAATAATATCTTTTGCTGTTTCAAGATTCCCCCTATTACCTGCTGAACAGGGGCAGGTAATGGGGGAAACTGTGGGAACCTGTACAATTGTGCTGCGAGCACAGACAGTTGTCGGAGCTGTTTCAAGTTCGCTCTTGAGGACTGTTACTATTGTTTGAGAAGAATACACTTAATAAAAATATATGACAAGAAATCATTAAATGTTTCAAGATTCAAAGTACAACAGTTGCATGTTTCTGCAGGACCCTGTGCAAAAGTGGTGGGAATACAGACAGTTTTGAGGGTTGTTTCAAGATCCCTGTTGAGTACTATTGCCAATAAATATTCACATATTTATGGCATGTACAGTTTTATAATTTTAAGAGTTCCACCATTACCACCATTTGTATTCGATTAAATACATATGGGAAAATTTAAAGCACCTGTACAAATATTTTTTTCTCTTTTGGGTCATTTAGGAAAAGTCATCACATTTCAGGGAGGAATGTAGAGTGCCAGGGCACCACGGTAGTCGGCTGGTTAGCCTCACATCTGAGACAGGCTTGTGAGGATAGGCGGATTAGAAAATGGATGGAGGGATGAATTTAGAGTGCTTTTATTGCTGCCAAACATTAAAACGGGTCGTTTGACTCGAGCATTATGTTCAAAGAGAAATTAATTATAATTTGTAATCTGATGAATGGCATAAGGGTTGGTGTCTGGATGTGGCCAAATGTCTCCATTGGGCAGGTCTCGACTGTGTTCAGCACCCTGTGCGATCATCTCCATAGTCAGCATGGGGGCAGCGAGCACGTCCGCTGTGCGATATGACTGAGTGAGGTGATGAAACAATGAGAAATCCGAGAGCGAAAGTTCATCATCGTCGTAGAGGTCCTCTATGAGGTCCTTGTGCTGCCGACTCGGTGCTTTCAACTCATCGTGCAGATCTGACACGAGCTCCTTCACGTCCTTCACCAGCGTGGAGTGTACTCCAAACAGGCAGAGCAGGAAAACCAGGCCAGCACAGATCCCAGAGACAAAATACAGAGCCACTCGTTCAGGTACTCCTGAAAAGGAAAGCAGGTATAGCTCAAATTACTTTTGGCAGATATTTGATGCATGCAACTGTAAAACCAAATAAACAAGGAAGTGCTAAACCCCCCTCACCCAAAAAAACAAAAATCAAATGCAGCCTGATATAAACAGATCGGCTTGCAGATCTTACCACGAGGATTTCAAATGTGTTTGGCATTTGAAAAGATGTTGCATGTTTTTTTTTTTTGTTCTTTTTCGCAGGTTCCTTGTTCACACAAGACAGTGTGACCATCACTATCTTGTTTTTGTCAAGTTTAATGGATCATTTTGTTTGGACTCTCCTTTGTTCTGGGTGTAATTGCACTTTCGACCAGTAGATGGAGGCACAGTAATTTGTTTGACACTATAAATGTGAAAGAATAAGAACGAAAACAGGAAGTTTTGCACCTTGTCTGGGTTTGTGCTGAATATTATTGAAAGTGATACTGTATCCTCTGCAGTACTGTTTTTCACACCTACACAAAGTGGTGACTATCTGCTCATTTTTTACAATCACATCTTTGGCTATGATTGGTGATGTATATCGTGAGATGAGTTTGTTAGTTTATAAAAAAAAAACACCACCAACAACAACAACAAAAGGGGAGTGGTTTGTTTACTGTAAACACACAAGGATGGGTACACTGAACAATAGTCTTCTGTTATCGATTGCTCTTCCTCTCTCTTAATATATGTGTTTTAACGTATTTGTTTCATTTTAAAATAGTTTTCAAAGGCCATAAAAGAGGGGTTTAGAAGGGAAGGGAGTATTTAAATAAGGTATTCCTACATCACAGAGCTCCTTCACATCCTTCAAAAAAGCAGCTGTCATATGACAAAAATCAGAATACAAAAACATAAATATTTTAACAACTCTGTTACCAAGCTCTCACGGTGAGCAAGCCACATAGATTAATAAAATGATGTTGAATTAGTCCCTTCTTTTTCATAAACAGCATACTCAGTCAGGTACTGTATCATAATCGGTGCACATACCCAACATTTTTTCTACCATCTCCAGAGAGTTGGTTAGTAGCACATTTTGAGGCCTGTAGGTGGGGCCAGTGTACCATCCACCTGCAGGCGAAAGGGGCCTCGGCTCAGATGCCAATCAAAGTCATCTGAACTACCAAAAAACTTGAATGCCGCAGAGTAGTAGTGGTGTTCCAGTTCAGTCTTACCGTGTGTGTAGTCTGAGATCATGAAAGGATCTGTTGTCCCTCTACCCACGTCTTCCAAAAGATACCTGGGAACTAGATAGATAGATAGATAGATAGATAGATAGATAGATAGATAGATAGATAGATAGATATTAACAATGATCAAAATAATACATCATTCTACCTCACCCTTTTGCATTTGGTGGAGGTAAAGCGTCATGTACAAGTGTCAGTTACCTAAAGCATACAGCAAATGACAGTTGGCTTCTCACCACAAGTGTAGGATACTCGCAGGTGTTTCCTGGTGCCGGGGAAACACGGGTCGCCAAAGGTTTGAGTGTCAGCAAGCACTGAACAGTTCGCTTGGCCGTGACACCGACGTGAAACCTTCCTCAGAGCGGACGGCGACAAACACTCTGAAATGCACAATTGTGGTGTTTTCACTAGTGGTGGGAAGTCAGCACACTTATCAGAAGCACTGACCTACATTTACAACCTCAAATGTCTTTGTATAATGTGTATCATTAATTATTAATGAAGCACATAATAACATTGTTATTATGTGGCAATTTGAGTGTATTTGTTATTTCAGAAGTGTGCGTCAAACTGCCCTTTGTAGCCCTTTGCATTGTGCAGTACAGAAGTAGTTCCAAAAGGCTGGGCTTTTCTCTTTGTTTGGTAACGTTTCTCTATGATGCACTGCTTCTAATATGTGAACGTGGATGTTGAATTTTTTTTCCAATTAGATTTTGTCATGATCCTGTCCTGTTTACTTTGGGGTTTTTTTCAATCTCCAGCTAGAGAGTGGGTGTTCCCTCATGAGCCGCACCTGAAACTGTGCCTCCTTACCAGTTGCCTATATATACTCTGCTTCACAGACAACTGGCTGTCAGTTTGTTAGCCTTGCTAATGACTCTGTCCTCAAGTGCTTACATTTCTAGGCGTGTTTAAGATTTTGCATCATAGCCTTTCGCCACATTTTTCCAAGAATCTTTTCACATAAACAGTTGTTATATTTCGGTTTCTATTCTGGTGTACTGAAATTTCTTGTCCTTTGAGTTTGACAAGCAATTTATGTTTTTCTTGTTCCTTGCCTTTTGCAAGCGTTTTTGGTTTTCGATTTTCCCTCGTCCTTTTGTTTCAAGCGTCCTTCATTGTACTTTGTCTTGCGATCTTTGGAAATGTATTTTTTCATTTATTTATTTTTGAGTCAAATCTCTTGTCTGTGCCTATGTTTGTGGTATCCAATTCTGTCCGGAGCATTCCGGACACCTGACAGCTTCTGTGTGCTTTCAGCGCCTTCAGAATCAGAAATGTTGTTCAATCTAACTTCAACTATATCACGAACAAATTTGGTTTTAACTAATCCAATTTAAAATCCATCTTCACAGGGCCAGAGCTGATTCTACCTGCTCCAGGTGTTGTATCTGGCACAGTTGTGTAGTTCTATATTTTGTTTTTGTCTAGGTGTTTTTTTTTTTTTAATTGCAATGTGATATTGGTGATATTAAGAATCAAATGAAAAGCCTGCCGCTGGTTTTCAGAGTAAGAGAAGTGAAACAATGAGCTCTGGGTCATCAATGACAAAATTAACACCACTCGGTTTGTTGTACTGTAAGTGTTGCTGACCCATGTCCACCAGCGAGCCCCCTCCCTGAGGACACAGGGGGCTTCCATGCAGCAGGTGTCCAAAGGTGGCTGAGTAGATGGCCAGTATGGTGTCATTCTTACATGCCAGCCTCAAGCGTTGATTCTCACACACCAGTCTTGTGCGGTAGTACTCTGAAAACACAACAAGACACCCAAGCTACCCATTAAAGAATGAAAATAACATGTTATGGATTAGAAGCAATAACATTGCTTAAACTTCGCTGAGCTTAATGGTTCCAATTATGTAATATACCATTGTTGGCTAATGGATGGCATCTTTGAGCAACAGACATTTGAACACAAACGATGACACAAGGCATGTAACAATACTCACAGGCATATTATTTTTGATTCTCTGTGAAAAATGATGAATACTACTGCAACTTATTGAGTATCTGGGACTTTCTCCATGTACCATATCCATATGTCTGCTTTATACTGCCCCCAGACACGAAATTTTGAACCATTTGAGTTTTTGTTCTTGCAGCCATGGTAGCAAAGTTGGATAACTTGCCATACACCTCTTGACTTTTTTCCACCTACCTGGTCTGCATTTGTAGTACACTAGGAGGTACTTGCTGGTGAGTGGGCAGGGGTCATGTCCAAACACGGGGCCAAGGACGGGTATTTGACAGGACCGCTCATCCTGACACTCTGACAGCACCTTCTGGATCGAAAAAAAGAAAACCCAAGCAAACAACAACACAAAACACAATCATTTTCTCATAACAGTGAATGTGCCTCACTGGCACAACAATCACCTTGATAGCGACTGGAGATGAGCACTCTGCGTCCTCGGTTAGATTTGTCTTCTGGCTGGGGCACAAATAGTGTTGAGGAACGCGGCGTCCAAAGAAGGCTGATAAGACGGCCACGGACGTCCTGGCAGGACATTCGATGGTGAGCGTTTCCCCTTCGCAAGCATGGGCCGTGTGGTTTTTCAGAACACTGTGGAGATACACTGTTGGAGGAAAGTGAAAGAATATTAGTGCTCACTCCATTCAAAATAGTATTCAGGTTTAGTAAGATGGTGTGTGTCAATGATGACAAACGACTATATTGCATGATTCATTTCCTGTATTAAGTATAAATAAAAACACAATTTGAAATCTCAATTTCCAAATGGGTGGCGGTGTCCCAGTCGTTGGGTGGAGCTCTGAGACTGACTGGACTCTGACCACACATGTAGACATGCACAACAATACACAAGCGTGTGCGTGTTTGTGTGTATGTTTATTTTGGGCAGTACCAGGCACTAGCTCACAATGAACTATTATTAGGCCTAGAAAACACACACACACACACACACGCACACACACACACACACACACACACACACACACACACACACACACACACACACACACACACACACACACAATGCAACCTTTTCAACAAATAGTCAAATCACAACAATATTCACAATACAATAAAATACAAATGAAATGAGCCACACCAAAGAAGTACAATCATGTTACTTTGAGAGCACAAAATCTGCATTCATTTCGACTTTTTAAACTCTCCTGATTTGTAATTTCTAGATTAAATATGTATCCACGTTTTATGCTCGTGTTAAATTCAGGTGAAATAAATTGTGTTTGTGTTTGTGCGTGTTTGTGTTAGTGTGAGGGGGGATTGACATATCATCACCATCCTAATACAATGGCCAAAGTCATTTTTTTTCTGTTTTTCCATAAAACATGAAAAACAAATGCTGATTATACTGTATTGTATTTATTAATCTTATTTCAGGCCAGGGTAGAACTGAATGATCTATTTAAATTAAGTATGTAGTCGATTTTAGCAGAAGTGGCCAGCATCCTGAAGAGATGTTTCAGGCAAAAGAAGAATATGGTGTAAATATGACATACGCTATTATTTTAAGAGGGCGACAATATGTGAAATATAGTGTAGAATGAGTGTATTTTTGACAGGAAAGAAATTTGATAAATTAAAAATTTCTGCCCCCCTGTATGCCTGCTGTGTGGGTACTGGGTGTACGGTATATATCAAATAAATGATGCATTGGGATATATTTCCAAATGAAAATAGAATTTAAAAATACATAAAGAAATGAGAAATGAAAAAAGGGACAATAATAAAGCCAGAAAAAACAATGAAAAAGAGATAATGTACATCGAATACAAATTAGAAAAAAATCAAAAAAATGTCATTTCATCCTAAATATTTTTTTTTATTACAAATTTAAAACCTTTTTTTCTAGATGGATTTTTTTTTTTTTTTTTTTTGCAATTTTAAAATTACTCCTTTGCACCCGCAACATAACTGGAAGGTTAACTTGATACTGCTTATCTCTGTGTAAGTTTCATCCATTTTCTGCTTTCAACTTGAAAAACAATAGATGATCATAAGAGTACTTACAAGAGAAATCAGGGGCTGAATGTGCAGTGTTGATCCCCAGAGCCAAAAAAGAGAGAAACCAGCCGAACCTCCTAAACTCTGTCATTGTGCTCTCTTTTGTTGGAATCGCATCTCGCATTTCTGTTAATGGCCCTGCAGAGAGATCCTTGGATCAATGATGCCATTGTTTTTACAGTAAGGCCACATTGAACAGAAAATTTGGAACTCGGAATAAGTGAAGTACGTAGCACATTAGATACAAATCCTGATTGATTGTGATTTTATATTATCGTCCAAAATAGATTAACAAAAGTGTTGAGATTTATTTTCCTGGTCATCTGATTTGTTTGCCCACTTGTTGCTTGGCAGAGTTCAGATCCCTCTGTTAGAATTGGCTCATCAGTCCATAAAACAAACAAACAAATAAAACAAACTATGCTCACTAAGGTACGGAAAATGGAGCAGATACATACAAAAGAAATCCATCCTTCCAGTATCAGAACCGCTTTATCCTCATGGGAGTCAGGGGCATGCTGGAGCCTATCCCAGGGCAGGTACACCCTGAACTGGTTTGCCAGACAATCACGCCATGTTTTTATGGTTCAATAAACATGATTTCAGCACAGCATCTTATAAGTGGATCCAAAACCTGATAGAGGTTTGCAGTTTTCCCGTTGCAGTGTATCGGTCAATGTGCAGTGCTTAACCGCTTGCCGGTGAAGAGATGCCATTTGTATATTTACATTGTACTATATTTCATGGGACTTTTTACACAAAAGTATTTTATTTCTGTGTGCTGAATCAAACTAGAAAAGTTTTTCTGTTTGCAGTGCAGTCTTTGATGGCAAGCTAAGTCAGGCTAGGCTTACCTAACATCAACAGCTCCGTGCCTAATGCAGATACATCTTATGACCATTTTCTCTACCGTTATTTAGGATGTGCTGGTAAGTGGAGTTTGTCTGAGCTGAGTTTTGGTGAGAAATGTATAATCCTGCTGATGCAGAAATATGCTCTTTTACACTTTCTCTAACATGTTGTCATGGTTCTGGTTTTATTTGACAGACAAAATTTAGTTTTATCTTGGTTGCAGGATTTATTTTTTTCATCGCGGTAAAAATCGAGTTCCTCTTGTTGTCAACATAGAAGGCCCTGTTCGCTGAGATAAGGCATTTTTTTCAGGATGTTACTTCCAGTTACTGTGTGTGTGCAGAAGAGATATGTGTGCGCCTCTTAATCAGAGAGCGCCTTCCTATCTTTTTGTCTATGAGAGAGAGAGAGAGAGAGAGAGAGAGAGAGAGAGAGAGAGAGAGAGAGAGAGAGAGAGAGAGAGAGAGAGAGAGAGAGGAGCGTGGGGGGGGTAAGTGAAAGGTCAATGGCAAGCTCCCGTATTTCCCGTTTCTCTGCTGTTTCCAGGAAGACTCTGGAAATTCCAAATGGGGGAATATCCTTACAGCAATGCCAAAATCAGCACTTTTCATTTTCTATTTGAACATTTGTTTTGATGTTCTTCCTAAAGCCTGCTGTTGTCACGGTGACCAAACACTTGTAAATGTACACCCTCCGTACATTTCCTTTGCGGAATATTGAATGGAATCATTTGTCACACAATCACGAATAAACACTCTCTCCATGGCAACGGAGTGGACGCAATAATGATGGCTTATCATTTCATTCAATATTTGTGGCACTCCCTCATTATTGGGTAGGCAAATTCCATTCACCTCTATTAAGAAGGGTCGAACCCAACAAGTTCAGCCGCCCTGGAATACTATGAGCCACATAATCCAGATAGCAGGAACTCTCCCTCCCCGCGAGTTCCGGCAGTGGCTCATTAATTTTAAGGTTTTCTTTGGAATTTCAATGTGATATGTCCATATTCGTCATGCTCCCAAAAAGTGATAAAAACTCCTCAAATCATTACCGAGGCAGATAAGCAGAACTCACTTGGCACTTGGTGTTATTTAGTGTGTTCATTTCTTCAAATTTCTTGTAAGGAGAGGAAGCACTGAGGAAGGGAGTTTGAAATTCCACTTCCTCCATTTACAGAAGGATACACACTTACAATAAATGCCCAAACTGAGTGTACTTCTCCATTGTGGTCTCATTGATGTAGGTACTATTATTGTTAAGAGACTGCCACTCAATTCAATCTTTGCAGAATATTTTTTGTGATAAGAAAATAGGTAAAAATAATTGGTTTATGACATAATGCCTTACTAATTATTCTAATCTAATCTAATCCACTTTAAATTTACAAATCCCAAAAAACAGAACTGTGTCATTTCATGTTGAAAAATACCACACTGAAAAAATATTTGGATTTAATTAAATTGAACATGTTAAAATGTGGTAAACTGATGTAATTCCCTCAAAAATAAAAATAAGAATGTGTGTTGGTTTAATACATTTTAATTGTGTACAGCCAAAAATCATGTACTTTTTCATACTTGATGGACGGACGCCCACTTTTGGGACAGAGGACGAGAAGTTTTTTTTTTAAAAAACACGGGTAAAGCAAGGACGTGGGTTTTCGTCATAATCGTCCCTAACCGTCTTAAGTATGAGATGTGGGAGGCAAAATCATAAGGCCAGAGTGTAGCCAAACACTGTATTTTCTTAACAGGCTATTTCATCTCAACAGTATTTTTATAGCAATGCTGCTACCTAGTGTACAGTCAGAGAACATAACAAAGTGCCTACGGACACCCATTTAATGGGTATGTGCTTCCTTAACGATCAATCCAGCTGGTTATGAAAGCTGCCTGTGTACTATTTTTCTCGGTACCCACCCACCATGCTGATGGCAAGGATTTCAAAAGTTATTATTTTATTTTATCATCGTAACTAATTTTGTGTTGTCAAATACTAATGTTGAGCTGCTTATATTGAAAATATAAAGAAACAGTGATGTAATTTTTGATTGATTGATGGCCAGTGTTATCTGCAACAGCCAAACACGGTGTGACTGAAAAAAAAAGCTCGGTAGGCCAATGTTTGCATGCGAGAGTGCTGCACATTTTTCAAAGTGTGGCATTGTGTAATGTTGCAAGACATGTCATGTGCTTTGCATTGTGGATGACATGTTTCTCTCGTTAAGTGACATAAGCTTTGTAGTGAGCGCCTCTATGAAGAGGTTAACACCCTAAAATCCCTAATACTTGGGCTTTCATTCTAATATTTTCTGAGGTTGTTGTGAGCATTAAGTATAGATGTCAACATTAATTTTGGGTGACTATTGATTTTAAGCAGGTTTTCACCTATTTTAACATAGCTACAGTCATACTGGCCACTTAAATTTGTCGGTCCCTAACAATACCATTATTTAAGACAATTTAACCACATTTGTTATTTCTGAATTGTGGAGCAAACTGGTAGCTCTTTGCATTAATCAGTACCCGAGAATTTTTTTCACAGCATCAAGAAGTTTGGTGACCCCTAGTCTTAGAAAATATCCATCCATCCATCCATTTCGAATCCGCTTATCCTCACAAGCGTCGCGGGCGTGCTGGAGCCTATCCCAGCTGTCTTTGGGCAGTATAGACGTGCTAACCAGTCGATCACCGTGTCACCATCCCCCTCCAAAATATCAAAAGAAAGAAAAGTCCACTCATGTGCACAGTGAGACTGCCCTTTGCGCTCAACTTGCCCCAGGAACGAAAATAGGGCCTTGATTGTTCTGACACAGATGTTTAAGGGTTTTGAGAAAGAAAATGGCTTTTCCTCCTGCTTAGAATGATAATAAAGAGCTTTTTAAGAATAAAACTTCACCCTCATTTTTGATGAAGACTTGAGCCTATTAGGTTGTCAATTCGGTGATATTGGAAGAGGTAGAAAAAAATTACAATTAAAAACTTTGTTTTGGAGGTGGAAATGTTGGAAACCACTGCTTTAAACATAAGATTTGATGGCTCTTCCCCATGTCCAATATATGACTTGTATTAAATGGTGAAAATATTTCCAGCCAATCCCGCCCCACCTCTCTATTTGTCTCATAGTACTGGAATGTGAGTCGACCATAATAAAATGTGTGTTTTGAGTCATGACTTTATCAACTCCTGCGTATTGCAATTTGTGCATACAGTGGCTATTTTAAGCCCTCCTCACAGATTTTATAAGAACGTGAACCCCGCCCCTTCTCTGGGTCCTCCCCCTCCACTGACTTGTCAAGTGTGTTGAGGGCGATAGCAAGCAACCAGCAGCCCTGAGGTGTCCCTCACTCTCCTGACGTTCTCTGCTTGCTTCTCTTATCGCTCTTTTGACTTATTTTTGAGGCCGTTTTGACTTTGACGTGAATTAACGACCTCTGTTTTGGGGACGGCATGGCATTGCGACAACATTCAGACAAGGAGCCGAGCATTGAGTTATTTGTTAAGGTCAGTATTTCAATTTTTCAAAAACAATTTTAACTTTTAAAAAAAAGGTACTTTCCCACAGATTTTTTTTCCACTTGGAAAAATGGCTATTTGCCATGAAGGAGACACTATCACTTTAAAAATGTGAAAGGACAAAGCAAGAATCCATATAATCAATAAGAGGACATGTCCTTTTAATTTGCCTGCATGCACTCCTGACCTTTTAATGTTTGTATCCATCAGATGAGCAGTCGGTCTGTTTTTATCAGAGCACAGGCACAACCTTATCACGGCCCAAGTGAGCAAAGAGCATGCTGTGTGATGACAGGCCCCCAAGCAGGCACACCCACTCAACCATGCACATGCAGTCAAGAAAATGGGTCCTTGTTTCCCAACAAAACATTCATTTTCTATACAGGTCACAGGACAGCTGAGTTTGGGTGGGGTATGTTCCTGGAAGGTTATCCCGAAAAGCCCCCAAGCTGCAAAATACCTAAGAGTTGTGAAATGTGTTTTCTTGGCTGTGTAAGAGGGAAGGGAGGGACTGATGTTGTCTGGCTTTATTTCGCATTAAAAGCCGAGTTATGGTGTGTTTGACTCTTGAGCATCTCAGCTATTTCAGACATGACACAGGCACACCCAATTTCATACACAGACAGTCAAATGGGGTCCAGGGTTGTAAAGGGTTTTTTAATTGATCAGAATTTTTTTAATAAGCTGTGATAAATAGCTTTTCATATTTTATTTTCTGTGCAGTTTGTGAATCGTGACCATAAAACCTGTCGGTGCAAAAAAAGCTAACCATTGTTATTAGATTAAAAAAAAAACAATTTTAACGGACATTAAAACCCTGACCGAGGTATTAATGGTGACATCATGCAGCAGAGATGCTGGACAAAGGTATTAAAACATCCTGAGTAGTATGACCATAAGGGACATTCAAATTTAGAGGTTCCACTGTCCTTACAAATAGAAACTAAGGTCAACATTATAGAACACAATACGAAACAGCCGGGACACTCCAGTATTTTTTCACTTTCAAATTCAACCTGCAGGTCAGACTGAAGCCTCTCGCAGGCAGGTTTGCTCCACTTTGGTTTGTCTCTACTGAAAATAGTCTGTGTGGTCACATTGTGAGCACATGTTCCTTTCTTCTGCTGCAACACAATGCCTGCATCCCAGCTTCCAGCAAACACCCCAGCCTACATGTGCCTTGGAAAATTAACAAGCAAGAAAGAAATTGGTGTAGTTTCTCTTTGTACGGCAGGCCGGCCATGACGGCGAGAACGTGGGCAACTGTCCCTTCTGCCAGGGGCTCTTCATGGTGCTGTGGTTGAAAGGAGTCAAGTTCACCGTGACCACTGTTGACATGAGGAAGTAAGCACGCCTCCACTTCCTGTCAGCGTTATGTGCTCAAAGACCTTCTATTAAGAAAAGAACTGGGATGTTGTTCTTTTTTCCCCCCCTCAAAACTTTTCACACCATCGGTGTGTAATAAGAGGTCTGTATCGCCTCCAAACATACACCTTTTTTTCCCCGCATTGTGTGAACTTTGTCATTAGTGATGGAAAAACAGGATCAGGAAGCCTGTAATGGACGCTGGTACTGTAATTGAGAGTGTCAAAACACAAAACAGGTCCCAGTAGTAAGAGAGGGTGGGGCTGGGGGCTGGGGGGGGGGGGGGACTCCGTTGCGCAGTCAGTCATTTTTTTGTTTTATTTTGTTTTATTTTACATATACACAACAGATCAGTGAGTTATTTCTCTATCCTGGTGTCTTAACTTCAGGAAGCCCGCAGAGCTGAAGGACCTGGCCCCCGGCACCAACCCGCCTTTCCTGCTCTACAACGGCACCCTCAAAACAGACTTCATCAAAATCGAGGAGTTCCTCGAGCAAACACTGGCCCCTCCCAGGTAGTCTACACGTATGCCTTTAATAACATCTGATGAGCTCCAATCGAAGAGTTCCATCAAACGTAGCATGGCAATCAAAACACATCCTCTATTCAGATAATTTCAAGATGACCCACAAAAAGTTGTCAGCACCTACATTTTAGAGGACTAATTGGTTGAAATGTGGCCAGATTGTACCTGTGTATATGACATAACATCTTCTCATTTTAAAAAAAAGGGCCAAACACCAGCCACAAAATGAGGAGGAACACCAGTTCATCTGTTTCTTTATTCATTCCTGAAATCAGACAAGGCAACATATCGACCAATTTATCCTCTAGTTGCAGCCGCTGACATATTCGCGTCGCTTAAAATCATGTGAATGGAGGATTCGTTTTGATTGGGCATCTGAATTTCTACTCTCATCACGTGGCTCAAGTTGCGCGCTCACGGTGAGTTTTTCACCTCACAAGGTGAAAATGAGCAAACATGATTCATGCATCAGACAACTCACTTGAAATTAAAAAGTGAGCTATCTGCTGTTCAAAAGATCTCAAACAGCATTTTGCTCCGGAGATAGTGCCAGTGAGCGCCACACTTTAGGCTCACTGAAGACCCTAAATTGTCCGTGGGAGTGAATGTGAGTATTCATGGTTGGTTGTCTGTATGTGCCCTGCAATTGGCTGGCGACCAGTCCAGGGTGTACCCGCCTAGCCCGAAGATAGGTAAGAAAGCCTCTAGCTCACTTGCAACTCTAATGAGGAAAGTGGATGGATGATGTTTTCTCAAAAAATATAAATACATCCAATTGATGAATAATGCTGATTTGATTCTCAGGTGGACTGTCCTATTCATGCCCTACGGCATACATGACTCAAATGCCTGAGTAAAAATTGTGTCATTGTTATTGTTTAGATGACAATTGAGATGTCAAACGTGTCCTTTTTCTGTGAATTTGAGTACATATACATTAAGAAGTTGTGTGACGGTATGACAACACTCACGGTTCAGTGTGTACCACGGTTCTAAGGTCACCAGCTACAATGCGGGAACAAAATGTAAAACATGAAAGTCATTTTCTTTTGCATAAACACACATAGACTTGATGAAAATTGACCGCTATCTGTAAATCCTAAGGCAAGGTATGCTGTATGTGCAACATGCACATACTGTATCTGTATATTAACCGGCAAGTATAACTCAGTGGTTTGGTAATGAAGTGCTGCCTCCATGAGTAAAAATGCTGTCACTGCTCTAACTGTATTTGCTGCACAGCAGTTTGCACTCACGTTTTTAGACCTGGGGTTCATGATGAACAATTAACCAATCCCAAGAATTGGTATGCGGCTCATCTGCATGAGACAGAACTGCTTCCTCAACACAGGTCGATTTCAGGGAAGCTTGAAAAAGAAGCTTAAACGTGCTTTAAGTCTTTTTCCTTGAGTTACTTTATATTGATGAATTCACAGAGATCTGAAAATGCACAATAGGCCTCCTTCAATTATTTCACAAGAAAACAACAATTGTGGACCACCCCTTTTGTCCATTTACAAGACTACAAAGTGTTTATTGGTGAATTTGCTGTATGCACCACATGCACAGATACACACGGGAATTGACAAGTGTAATTTGTTAGCTTGGCGATGAAGTGCAGTTTTCATGAGTGAAAATCAAACTGGTGCTTTGGATTCACTGTACTGCAGTTCACACTGACATATTTAGACCTTAGGGGCTTGTAGGAACTCATTCGGACCTCGGGGAATCTTGGAGAAACGGGGAACTCAAACTACAAGGATAGGTAGGAAAGTTCTTGAAAAGGTGAGTGCTGTAGAAAAGCGCCAAAGGTTCACCAAGTAGCCCTGCTGCCATGTCCATATTTTTTTAAAGACATTGCTTTTTGGGATATCACTCAAATTGTATTGTATCTGATAAAATGTCCCATGCGTGCATAAACTAAGAATGAGAAGCATGTTGAAAACAAACATGTCCTCCCTTTGCAGGTATCCACACCTCAGCCCTCTAAACAAAGAGTCCTTTGACGTGGGCGCTGACATTTTTGCAAAGTTTTCCGCCTTCATCAAGAACACACCAAACAATGCCTGTGAGTGGGCTTCCTTCTGGGCACTGTTCAAGTTTTATCAGAGATTAAAAAATCGGAAGAAAATTCTATGTCTGATCTTTCAGTTCAAGAGAAAAACCTGCTACGGGAGTTTAAGCGTCTGGACAATTACCTGAACTCTCCCCTACCCGAAGAAATCGACCACAACTCAAGTGAGACAGTCGGCGTCTCCAAGAGGAAGTTCCTGGACGGGGACCGCCTCACTTTAGCCGATTGCAACCTTCTCCCCAAACTGCACGTCATCAGGGTGAGATAATCACAGAGAAGAATCATCATACATACTGGACTAAACAACAAAGAAAAGAAATAATGCAGAGGCTAGAGGGTCAAGAGCTGCACCTGCAAAAACAAGTACCTGCAAGTCACAAATAAAAATACACTATCCATTTTCTCAGCAACATCGATGAAGGATGAATCATTTATTAATGCCAGACTGGCTATTAATACATTTTGCAAACATGTGTAATGTATAATTGAAAATCTACTGCATAGTAGTCCCTTGTTTTACATTCCAGAACACCCACCACAGATGAAAATCACCTCTACCATATATGATCTGTACATAATACCAATATAAAATATGCATGCGAGGCGCAGGTATTATTTCTCTACACCAGAGTCACCATCCTCATGTTCTAGACTGGATTATCTGTGACTTTGAATGTGTGTGGCTTCAAAAGATGTGGACTTGCCTGTTGAGTGATGTCAAAGTCAGCGAATGAGAATGTACAGTAGGACGTGTTGGCTCAGGAATCTGAGCTAACCGTAGCTAACCGTTTGCCAGGCTGCATGTCGAGTAATTCAGTGGAAGTTGTGGCCATTGATTGCTCATGAGAGAATGTGCCTATTAAGTGTTTGTTTTCCATATTCTTTGTTCAATACAGCCACTGAAAGTGCACTGGCAGTAATGTTATGGCAAACTGGCTAACAATGTTTACAGCAGACGTGCAGTTATGCAAGCTTTGCACTAGACACGTTGCACTTCATCTTCTTTTTTTCATTAAGCATGAGCTATTCCCAAATTTTGGGCATCTTCTTTCCACATTACTTCCTGCACATAATGCTGCAGTAGTCTATAGTAACAGTCTGTGTGGAAAATAATGATTACCATAAAATCACAGCAATATAGCGAGAAATTTGCAACATAAAATTAGATATGTACGATTGAGACGTCCACAATATAGTGTAACTGCAAACAGTGAAGAATATGGCAAGGAACGACTGTACAATTATGAGGAGAATCATGGCCTCAGTCAAAACTGTAGGATGGAAAATGGACAGTATATAAAGGTTAAAATGTGTGAAGGTACACCATGGCTTGGCATGAGGATTCACCGTGTTATATTTTTTAATGCTTCCGTTTCAATCCAGGTTGCCTCCAAGAAGTACTGCGGCTTTGACATCCCAGCCCAGTTGACAGGCGTGTGGCGATACCTGCACAACGCCTATGAGCGGGAGGAGTTCAAACAGACGTGTCCGGCTGAAATCGAAATCGAGAAGGCTTACTTAGGAGTGGCCAGTAACAGGAAATAAAATGTTCATTCACCATCTGTACATGGTGCTGTGTGGTGCCAAAGATGTAACAGCCATCAATCATCTTAACACAGGGATGGGGAACCTTTGGTTTTTTGTTTGTTTTTTTTAATACTTCAGAGGTTTAATTTGTTTTTAGAATTGCTGTATATGACACACCTGCCACTGGTTCCCCACTACTGCCTTTAGAACTCAAATCACAGAACACAGCGTTTTAGTGCTTTTGACTGTTTTAGTCACCTACAAGACCAATTGTGAAATTGACTGTTTATTTAATTTACAAGACTTGTGTTTATAGTGTACATAAATACAGTATATTTTCAATGATTGTTAGTGAGTAACAATCAGAACCCTTCAAAACTCTTCCTTTTAATAATGCAGAAAATTAATATTCTTGTCTATCTTATTCTGTACTAACACAACTGACATGATGGGGAATGTGCCACTACCATACTAATAAAATATTCAAATGTGTTTGTTATTTTAAATCTCATATTGTGTGACTATTGGTAAAATGGTAAAACACACGAAAATGTGTTTTACCATTTTTGCTTTGACTTTTTCCAAGACAATGTTTAGCTTCATGTATAAATTAAGGCACAAATTATCAAATACCTAATCAAATAAGTCAACAATTCTACTTATCCTGGTTCCATTAGATGGATAATTTACTCTTACTCAGACTACCTGGTCACAGTCTGCGATTATTTCTGACTTTACTCATTTGTTTTTGTAAAAGTGTGCTGTCTCCTCTAAGAGGGATGCTGTGTTGGGGCATCTCATTTGTCTAATTGTCTAATCCTAGGTCCTCGCTCCTCTGTGTTCATGATAACACTTCCTACCAAACATTCCATTGAGGATGGAGGAGATTGACAAAATGGCTAGGCTTGAGAAGGTAGAAATGTTTTGGGGTAATGAGACGATCGCTCCTTGACGTCGTCATTTCATGGAGACGTCTCATAAAGATGATGTTACATCGTTGACGCTTGTCACAAATGGACCATCTGCATGTCAGAATCATTACTCGCACCACAAATGTGCACTTCCCACTTTGTGTTTCAAGTGGGGTTAAATTAAAGTCAAATACCAACAGGTTTCTGCTTCATAACTTTGCAGATGCAAAGACGAGTGCGACTGGTCTGTCCCAACTGTGTCTCCCCCACCTCAGTGCATATTTGGAATGATTTGTGAATTTGTAAAATGTTGATATGTTGTTTATGAGTAACACTCAATGCGAAAAACTGTGAAGAACCATCAAAACGTTTTAAATTTTGTTTATGTGGCCAAATGCATTTGAGAAATAGCAGCCTGATTACTACAAACCTGAGAAACAGGTCGTTGGTTCAGCTTGAGTCAAGTCTTTTTGGTGGCATTTACAGCCCCAAATAGAACAGACACTCAGCATAATATGTATATTCAACCTAAAACAATCCAAACATGACACAAACATGGATTATGACGAGTTAATTTAAAGTCTGGCGTCATATAGTGTCCAGCTGGTACACGGCCGATTTCATACATCACTATTAAGGAGCTGAAAGACTTCCATAGAGAATACACCAGACATCCCTTGAGTTAAGTTAGCCGGTGGAAACTCCTCAATGCCCGATCTTGGCACTTCAATGTGCAATAAAGACAATTGAGATGCTCCTTAATACGGTTGTTTTCAATGTTTTAAGGAGTGAGAAGCAAGAACGTTGCAATTAAGAGACATGAGATGAGACTTTAGCACAGATTTCTTTAAATATGAATGTACGATCAATTGGCCCCTTGAAGCTGAGGCCAGAGGGCAGCCATTTCATGTTCCAACTGTTACTTTGTAGAAATATCCCATATAAAACACACATCACTTGTCTAATAGTTTATTCAGTCACAAAAAAAACCCAAAACATTTTTACAATTTTAAAAAATAGATTTTCTTCATTCAGTGTTGAAAGGAGTCTTGTGGTGGTGTTGCCGATGATGTCTAATTGGTCACGCAGTATTTCCAGAAACACGCTGTTAAAGGCACACAGAATTAGTCAAGACAATTGGAACCAGGAAATGTAGCTTGCGTTGTAACAAACAGTGCCAAACAAAGGTATTTGTTGCTCTGATCATCATTGTAGAGTTTTCTTTACCTTAAAAACTTTGTCCGATGGGAGATTTTAGACAGTGATGATATTGATAATATGTATTTGACAGATATACAGACATAAAAGTACTCAATCATGCTCTTCAAATTAATTAATGCTATACCGTAGTCCTGTCTTGCCGAAAATGCTAAAATGACAAAACATTAACTGGCCACGCCACAAAATTAAGTACCCCGATACAATCTCATAAAATCTAACAGCTGCATCCGAAATTTTCCCTTTACAAAGAAAATAATATTCAGTTAAGAAGCATAAGAGAGGAATTCATTTAACAATAGGTTTATTGTTGTGGTTATAGCATATCGTGATTTAAAATGGTGCTGTGTCATACTGAAAGCTGGTTCACTTATTTTGGTTATCTCATGCTTGTTTTATGTTTTTCAAAAATGACTACTATTGGTCTTTTCCCACATTGTCTTTTGTTTTGACACATTGTTTTTACATATTACTAATTGAATGTGTTGAACACGAGAACAATTGGTTTAACCATCTTGGACACTTCAGCTGTCTGAGAAGTTTTGTATAACTCCACCACTTCCTCATTCTGCATGAGCCTTGCAACATTGCGTCAACTCAAGATTGAAATAAGAGATGATTTTTAGACAGTATCGTGTGAAAATAGTTAGGTGAGTTACATTTGGTTGGGACTGTTTTGTTAAAAATCTATACTGGCATGCCTTGTTGCATAAAGAAGTGTATCACTCACGAAGGAAAATTTCCATGACATTAATGTCTACCGATCGCATTGCTGAGCCAGCTGATTGCTATTTATTGCAGAAGTCATGGCTGTTAAATATTTGAAAAAGAGTTTGCTTCCTGCTGAAGCTGCGGCCCTGTGACTTGACCTCAGATAAGTGGAAGAAAATGGATGGGTGGCTGAAGGAAAATAAGAGGGGGAAAAATATACTTGTGGGAGCGTTGTGAGTAAAACATGTCAGAGTTATCCAAGTGGAGGAGAGAACAGAGAAGAAACTGTTTGTATCAAAATGCCGAAACGTTTCAACATTTTTCAGGGCCACGCTGAGTGCGCATAACTGACAACTTTTCTTCAAACAAATTTTTCGAGATGATTTTTTTTTTTGTTGTCCTGATTCTGAAACTGCCCTTGTTTTTTTCTCTAACACATCAGGTTTTCACAACAGTAATACTAAAAATAATACTATTGTATTATAACAATAAAATATAAAATATATAACTTCAGAATATATTTTGTACTATTCATGACTTAAGAGATAGGTTGAGGGTTTGAAACAGCAAACCCCATAGGCAGATGTGCTTACCCCTACTACACTGTGCTGCCACATTTTGACTCAAGTTCCCAAATGCGGTTCCCTGTCACATAACACCTAAATAAAATGGAACCCTAATTAATGTAGAGATAATATGCTTCCTACAAATTACTGCTTGTGTTAAAATGACTAATTTGTTGTGTAGTTTTGACTCACCTCTCTTATTGGGTTTGGGCACGCCTTGCTCTGACCTGACAAAAGCTTGAGAGCGAAGCTTGTCAGCTGCAGCCAGTTTAAGAACCACTGCCTTAAGACCCTCAATCTTCAAATAGAAACACAAAAACATGATAGACATATGGACGGGAAGTTTTTTTTCTTTGGTTACTTTTTTTCTTTTTTGCATTTATACAGATTGGCTCAGATTTACCATGGTTGCATAGTTATCCTGCTGTGCTGAAACGTCAGGCCCTTTCACCAAAAATGGAAGATTCCACATAAATGTTTTTATGCATCACTTGCTACAGTTTAAACGAACCAAATGAATATACGTTCAACTACCTTTGTTCCAGGATTGACTTTGCCCATTGTGCTGCATCAGTAGAGGATACAGATTATTCACCTCGCTCTGTTCCCCTTCTGTAGTGTAAGAGGCATCTTCTGACACCAGCTTCTGAAGGAAATCTGTGCAGAATCACATTCATATTACCATTCATAATTCGCTAGCATTGTGCAGAGGCCTTGTATCTGCAAAACCATCACTATTCAGGAAAAAAAAATGGTATGTTTGTTCGGCCTTTAACATTCCATCATCAAAGAGAACAAGCCATGTTTATCACTTTAGAGTTATTGGGGGTCTCAGCCAGACTGCAGCGGGATTTAGGGTTTCCTTTTTTCTTATTTTTGAAAACACACCTCTTTTGAAATGAAGATGTAGCATTCAATTCAAAACAAGAGAGCAATTATAAAATAAAATGAGATAATGAACCATTCAACTGAAAAAGACATTACAAAAAGTAATTAAAATAACTTTTCCATCTGGATGTAACAAAAAGAGGGCACAACAATTTAGCTAAACGAAATGTATTCAACTGAAAGCAAACAAAAAGGCAGAAATGAAAATTGATGTTTTCCATGCAGTATGATGTGTCAAAAAGACAGCACAATCGTTTTTTTTAATAAAACGTAGTATGAAAAATAAAACATTTTAATATTGTTCCTTTTTTGTTAAAAAAAAAGTATATTTTATCATTGTTGTTTATTTTTACATTAAAAACAACCTTAACAGCTCATTTTAATAGTGGAGTATTCACTTGTTGTAGCATATAAAGGCAGGGAGTAGCGTTATTATGTAGAAAATAAAAATCACGTATCTTAGAGATTTTAACACGACAAAAATTGTTTTTACAATGCGAATTTGATCTTACCTGACTGTGTCTCCAGGTTGGAGTCAGGATAGAGAGGTAGTGCGTGTGTCCATCTTGCAGCGAGGAGGTAAAGCACAGCTAGAGACAGCATGTTGACTTTGCAGTTGGCCTAGTTGGTACAAGCTTGGCAAAGAACTTCACTTATATAACCCCACGCAGGCCATCCATCACAAGCGATCAATACATTATCATCAGAGCCAGCATCGCTCCTTAATGGATTGGGCGTCATAGACGCCATTTAGGGGATGCTTGTCAAGTCGGCTGCGGCCTATCTGTGCTTGGACAGGAGAGCCTAACAAATGTTTACCCTTCCTCACGAATAACGCATGGCTGTCCGGCGAACCTGCCATGCTTTAATGCGCCACGAGTCCAGGTTTGGTGTCCTCAAAAGCGTCATCGCTCACTCACGTCTGATGGTTTTGTGCCACAATGCAGTCACACGGACGTCAATGCAAGATCTGACGCCATTTTCGGTTAAATAACCCACCCAACATTTGTCTCATTTAGCAAACATGTCAATTAATTTAAAAAAAAAAAAAAAAAGACAATATGCCCTGAAAAAATGGTGTGGTGAATTCCTGGAACAAATGCTTTGTTCAGTGTGTGCACCAAGAGCATTTAATCCAGTAACCCCTCCTCCCCCTCACAATATTAGGGTTTTTTTTGCCTGTGATAACATGGCCTTGCAAAATTCAGGTTTTGAAAGGGTTGTCAATGCATGTAAGCATACTTAGCGTTTTTATTTCTCCAACTGAATTTTAGGAGAAACAAATGAAAACCATTTGAGACAAAAGAGACAGAAGTGAGATTCGCAGATTTGTCTCTCGAGCCATTGATGAGCAAGCTTTGATTAGTAAAATTTTCCTCTGAGTTGGCTTTAATCCAGGGTTAGGGTTTCAATGTCGTTCAAATCAAGGCATGGCTGTGTTTACATGTGGGTTTCAAGGCCATTTGGGGTTCGTAGTTATAGTAATAATTGTTCAAATCACAGTTACCAGCCAGAATGAATGTTTAAAGTGTCAAGGTTTGAAATAAGGGTTCCATTGCAAGTGTTAGGGTTCCAACTGTGGGTGTGGGTTTGTCCGTGTGGACATGGTGAAGACCTGAGAAGTGGCGGTTCTTCTTTCCTTCATCCTTCCTTGCTTTGTTCCTTCTATTCTTTCTTACTCCCCCTCCTTCCTTTCCATATTAAAATCATAATTTAATAAAGTGTACAGTATACTTATATTGTTGAGCAGTATTTCAAATGCAGTATTTTGTATTTTGACTATCATGTAGTTCAACGAGGTCATCAGAAGGTGAACATTTTTTATTGCTGTATTGATAAGCTATTCTGAATTCACCATTTTAGGCTGATTTTATTCTTGTAATATGTATTTTCTCACATCAATCCTTTAAAAATTCACAGAACACTATGAAAACTTGAACATTTCTATTTTTTGCTGTCTGTCCTTTTGGTGATGGGAATTGGCTGACATATTACAACCATTTACTCAAGTGTAAACTAGTCTGATAATTCAAAAAATATCTCGGGAGATTCGAGAACGTTTATAGGGCTGCCGGGGCCTTTTGTCAAAGTGAAAGCTCCCTATAATGACCCCCAGATGATGTCAGATGATGTATTAGCCTCTCTCAGCGTCTCTGAAGTTGTTAGAGAAAATGACATTTCATACATCTTGCTGCTGAGCCGGTTTAAACAGAAAACAAGTTTGGGCCGTCGAAACCTGAAAGGGGCATACTATAGATTCATAATTCTTATATCCACCTATTATAGTGCAGCTAATTTACATGGCAGCACCTACAAATTGACTTGGCAGCTCAGCTGCTTAAAGAGCCAGAAGGTTAGCTGCGTTAAGTTTTGTTGGAAGGGCAACCTTGTGTCGGTTAACAAGACTAGCTTCAGTTGATGGGGGCATACTTACTGTAGGTATTCAATGAAATTGACAATGAGTAGGCGGATGGTGCGGTATTTGTGGTTGCTGATGTGTCCATAACATGAGCCACAGAGATGAAACGCACGCGAGTTGATAAACATCATCCGCCTGCTTTGGTTGAAGTGCTGCATCTTCAGGTGAAAACGCATTACCAACAACGATTTCTTTAAAAGGTCTTCTGTATGTTCTGTACTTAACATTTTAGACTCAGGCCTTAGCATTAACCACAGCAAGCTTCACATCTAACTGTTATGGTAACAAAAGCTATACTTGATGTGAACACTGAAGAAGCGATCCATCCATCCATCCATTTTTCAATCCGCTTATCCTCACACGGATCGCGGGCATGCTGGTGTCGATCCTAGCTGTCTTCGGGCAGTTCTCCCATTGGTGTATGCTAAAAGGGAAAAAAAAAAGGTTTGGATGAGATCACAAGGGAAGCCCAAGCTGGATTTATGTCAAACCGACATATTAGCTCAAACACAAGATATGTGCTTCATTTACTTTTTTACTCTGTTTCAAATAAAGGATATCTTATCTTATCTTACCATACATTGATAACATGTACATTTCACGTTTTATGCATATTGATCATCCGTATTATTTTTGTACAGCTGAACCTGAAAGTGTGAATCATCTGTTTTTTGACTGCCCCATTTGTGCTGCATCTTGGAAAGATTTGGAAAAAAACAAATTACAAACTTACATTAAATGGAAAACAAATTATTACTGTGTTCAAATCTAAAGAAAGAATTGTGTAGAGCACTATTGTTAATTTATATGTTTTGTTAGGAACATTTCACATCCATAAATGTAATTTCACCCCATTATTTAAATTATTTTTGTTTGAGGTAGATAATGATTGAAAGTCTCTTGATCTAATAACAAGTAAAATAAAATGCATATCAATAATTCTATGTATGTATGTATGTATGTATGTATGTATGTATGTATGTATGTATGTATGTATGTATGTAAGCAAAAGCAAAATATGTTAATTTGATTGCCTGATGTTGTGTGTGTATATATATATATATATATATATATATTGTTAAAAAAAAAAAACACAGACCTTATGCTGCATTCGCGGAACGTGGGAATGCAGACCTTCCCGAGACTGCGACCAGAAAAAGTGCACTGGAACGCCGCATTGAATAGGACGGTCCGAGTTGCGGAATTGGCTGGGGGAGGTCCTTCACTGGCTGGCTTCATAAGATATCCTTTATTTGTCCCACACTGGGGAAATTTACAGTCTACAGCAGCAAGATTGTGGGTTGAAAGAAGAAAAACAAAGTGTTTGCATTCACAAAATAAATGTACACCGTTCAATTAAGTGCAATATAAATATAGATATAGATAAGGTGGC